AAAAAAAAAAAAAAAAAAGAAAGTTCAGAGTGGGGTGGCCAAGCACTCCCCTCACTTCTAAAATTTAGAAAGCAAGAGGGAGAAAAGTTCGGGCCACGCGATACCCCGAAACTGTTGGCACTCGTCTATACATGCGAGTATTCATGTCCTAATTGTGTCCAGCCTCTTTTTCGAAGGGCCCTTATAGGGGCGAATTAGCTAGGACCCTACGTGCAGCAGAGGTGAACTTCAAACTTCCAGTCACCAGCGTAAGCAGAGAATATATACTCTGGATTCAAATTCAGGGATGTGCATCTCGGATTCTCGGTTATGGGTCACTATTTCTTTTGTTTTCAAGTTTTCCTTTTCTTAGGAATACATGCAGTAAGGGCCGTTCCTCACCACATACACAAAAGACAAAACATATGGCAGTGTATTATTCCACGTTCTGCAGTAGATTCTTTCTAATTTTGCAAATTTGCTCACTATTTCTTTTCTTTTCTAGTTTTCCTTTTCTTACGAATACGCGCAGTGGCCCTAAGGGCTGTTACTCACCACATACACAAAAGACAAAACATAGGGCGGTGTATTATTCCACGTTCTGTGGCAGATTCTTTCTAATTTTGCAAATTTGCACATTACGTGAGTAGTGCAGCCAAGCCCTCAGAATCACTTGCAGACTCTGCAGACCAAGATCCACAGGCCATTTTCAGTCCCCTGTTGTTTTCAGCCCGAAAGCCTGAAAACAAGGGCCTGTAGGCCCTTTGTCGTTTCAGCCTAAAACAGGGCCTTTCCGGCCCTGACGCTTTTCAGCCTGAAACGGAGGGCCATTTTCAGGCCCTTATAAGATCGACCTGCCCTGAAACTCAGGCACCAGACCAGGGTTTTAGCACAGGCCATTTTAGGCCTGTTTTCAAGCCAACCCTTGGTTGAGCTTCAACGCCAGGGTCTGGCACGTTTTGGCATTGGCAAGGGCAGCGTCCTGGACGGGCCAGCACTATATAGGACTGGCCCGCCCTGCAGGCTGCAGGTAGTTCCTAGTTACTTCCCAGGCACTTCATGTGCAGTTCAGGAGGCAGGAGGTACTCTTCAGGATTCAGCAGCAGCACTCTGGAGGAGCGCTGCAGGACTAGTAGTAGCGCTACCAGTAGTCTTCAGCGCTGGGCGCTAGTAGCGTTAGCAGTAGTCTTCAGCGCTGGGCGCCATTACGAGCTAGAGTAGTACTAGAGAGAGAGAGAGATTGGGCGGAGGCCAGGGATACTTCCCTGCAGCGCCATAGCTCCAGCTTCGCCTTCGAGGTACCTGCAGCACGGCGCCATTTTCACAGGTTAATACCTGGCACATGTGAGAGAGAAAGAGAGTTCTTCTTCTTCCTCTTCTCAGTCCACCATCTCCCTCTCACCCTCTCGCTACCTGACTTCACTGCATCAGGAGACTATGAGAGAGCGGGCTTGGTGACATTTAGATCCAGACTCGACATTGGGCTTCAGATATTTGAC